GAGATGAGCGTGGTGCGAGCACACTGTCAGTGGTATTCGACAAGTTTATTAAGCCATTCTTATCCAATGTCGGTGCGGCTGTGACAGACAGGGCAGCTTACCGGAAAAAGCTTGCATGTAAGCCACTGTACCGGAAAGTGCTGCGCGTGTAAACTTGTGCAACGCATGAAAAACATGGTGCATACTATGTGCCTCTGTTTTTGTGTTGTTTCTGTAAATGAAGTCTCATGTATAAACTTGTATGTAAGTCACTACTCTGCATTGTGCTCCGTGAACAGAATTGCGCAATGAAGAAAAACATGCTGCAAACCGTCCTTTTTTTTTTCTTGCTGTAAATAAAGTATCATGCATCCTGAAATGAGTTTGTTTGTCCTCTTTCCGAGATGTAGCTTCGGTGCATTAGCCTCCAATGTTTAGGGCAACCGCGGGAAAAATTCTCTGCTGAGTTCAAGGACGCGGGTTCGACTCGCGGCCGCTTTTCTGCTGGAGGCGAAAGCGAAAAATTAAACGGCTAAATGGCACCCGTAACTACTTCTATCTACTGCATTGATGAGCGGTTGTAATTTTTTTATTAAACGTCTCACACAGGCTGCGAAGGCTGAGTTTTCGTCCTCTGCGCCCGCCCGCGCCAGGGAAAGCCAGAGGAAGCATGGATGGATGGATGGATATGGCTGTACCCTTTAGATCGGGCGGTGGCTAGCGCCACCAAGCCGTAATACCTAATGAACCAAAAACTATATTTATTTTTTTCCCCTTAAAAAGTGAGTTTGAGGATTCGTACTTTGCAGTGAAGAGTTTAATTTTCACTCGTGCCTTGACTTTAGCCACCAATCAGATAACCTCCTTCAAGTTAAGTCTACCCGCTTAAAGTTTATTTTGCCCCCCCCCCCCCCCCCGGTCTTTAAACCCCAGTGCTTTGAAAAACTCTGCGCCATCATCCTTAACTATAGGGTGAAGCCCTTTACAGAACATTATCAAGTGTTCGGCAGTTTCTTCTTCCTCTCCACACGCGCTGCATACTGTGTCTACCCCTTCGTATTTGGCCCGATATGTCTTGGTTCGCAGTACTCTCGTCCTGGCCTCAAACAGTAGAGAACTACCCCGAGTATTATCATAGATCCTTTCCTTGGCAATTTCCTGCTTAAAAGTTCGATAGATCTCTAGTGCGGACTTCTTAATCATGCCAATTCTCCACATATCGGTCTCAGCTTCCTTCACTTTCTTCTTACCCGATAGTTCTTTTTGGTTTGGCCACCTGCTGTTTTCTAAGTATTTACCAGTCGATTTCCTGGTTCGCTTCCTTCATTTTGTATTGACATTTTTCATGTACAAGTAGCTGAATACCTTCCTAGCCCAACGCTCTTCCCCCATTTCTCTCAATCGCTTCTCAAATTTTAGCTTGCTGCTAGCTTCCCTGCCCTCAGATGATGTCCATCCCATATGACCTTGTACTCCCTGATTTGGTGTATTCCCGTGAGCTCCTAAGGCAAGCCTACCTATTCCACGTTGCTTAATTTCTAATCTTGCTTGAACTTCTGATCTCATGCACAAGACCGCATTGCCGAACGTCAGCCCAGGAACCATGACCCCTTTCCATATTCCTCTCACAACATCATACCTATTGTAATTCCACAGTGCCCTATTTTTCATCACTGCTGCATTCTTGTTACCTTTAGTCGTCACGTATATTTCGTGTTCCCTCAGATACTCGGTCCCATTGCTTATCCATACGCCCAGATATTTCTATTTATCTGTTATCTCTAGCGTGACCTCCTGTATCCTAAGCTCACTACCTTCGTTGTCATTGAAAATCATGACTGCTGATTTTTCCTTACTGAATCTAAAATCTAACCTATCTCCCTCATTACCGCAGATGTCCATCAATCTCTGCAAATCTTCCTTGTTGTTGGCCATTAGCACTATATCATCTGCGTACATTAATGCTGGTAGTGCCTGATCAATAAGTTTTCCTTGTTTGATTAAAGAGAGGTTGAAGCCCAGTCCACTTCCCTCTAATCTTGCCTCTAATCCTTGTAGGTACATCATGAATAATAAGGGTGACAGGGGGCACCCCTGCCTAAGCCCCCGTTTTACCTCTGCAGGCTTGGATACCTGTTTTTCCCCCTTTATAATTACCTTGTTACCTTTATAGATACCCTTTAAAAGATTAGTGGCTACATGTTCCACGCCTAGTGTGTCCAGTATTCCCCACAATTCCTCTTGAACCACGCTATCGTACGCTCCCTTGATATCCAAGAATGCTAGCCACAGGGGCCTGTGTTCCTTTTCTGCTATTTCGATGCACTGCATCAGTGAGAACAGATTGTCTTCCAACCGCCTGTGTTTCCGAAACCCATTCTGCAGTTCCCCCAGCACCTCCTCATCTTCTCTCCATGCCTGCAGTCTTTCCTTTATAATCTGCATCGCCAGCCTGTAGACCACTGATGTCGCTGTTATAGGACGGTAGTTGTTTTTGTCAGCTTTGTCCCCCTTTCCTTTATAGATCATGCTCATCCTGCTAAGTTTCCATCCATCGGGAACTTCACCATCGATTATTATTTTGCTCACTGCCTCTCTCAAAGCCTGCTTAGACTTCGGACCTAATGTCTTTATCAGCCTAATTGGAATGCCATCTGGGCCTGTTGATGTACTACTAGGAACCCTTTTCTCACCACTTTCCCACTCTCGTTGTGAAAATGGAGCTCTTGCACAACTTGATTCGTCCTTGTCAATTGTGGTGCATAAAGTACTTCTTTGTTGAAATTTTTCTGTCACCCTTGTTCTTATATATTCAATAGCTTCGTCCCCTTCTAGCCTGGCACCTTGGACTGTAGTTATGAAACTCTGCTGTAGGCTCGTCTCATTTCTTAGGGAGTTTAGATGGTTCCAAAATTTCGCAGCTGCCTTTCTATCTTTTTTATGTACTTCTGCCAGCCACTGAGCTCCCTTTCTTCTAATCTTTTCATTTATCAGAAGGGATGCAGCCCTTCTACAGCTTAGAAAGGTTTCCCATTTTTTTTCAACATCATCTGTCGGTTCACCCCGCTGCTTAGCATGTCTGTGTTCCCTAGAGGCTTCCTGACGTTTTGCTATGGCTCTCTTAACTTCCTCATCCCACCAACCTTTGGGTTTGTGTCTTCATTTCCGGGGTGACTTGTTACGAGTCTTAGCAAGCTCTAGCTCAAAGAGTCTAATTAGATTCGTGTATGTCCACACTGTCTTATTATCCTCCGTGATTACTTTCTCAATTTGTTTAGTGGCTATTTCAAATCGCCTTTCTGGATAAAAACTTTCCTGTAGTTGCTCATCTTGTCTCCTTCCCACTTTCACTGCTCTTCCAAAACTTAGCTTGATACGTTTGTGATCGCCACCCAGACTTCTGGAGCCACCTTCATCTATGTGCATTCCCCTGAGCTTATCATACATCCTATGTGACATCAGTGCATAATCTATCGTCGACTGCAGCCTTCCTACCTCCCATGTTATTTGCCCTTCACACTTCTCGGTACTGTTGCAAATGATCAAATCAAGCCTTTCACACATATCCATGATCATTTTGCCTGTCGGGTCGGTATACCCATCTATATCTTCTATGTGCGCATTCATGTCTCCTAGTATAATTATCTCGCACTCTCTTCCTAACTCCTGAATGTCCTTTGATATACACTCTACCATTGCGTGGTTTTCCTCTCTGGCCTTTGCTCCCGTCCACAAGTACACGAAACCAAGGAGTGTCATTTGACCTGCCACTTTCCCTTTTAGCCATAAATGTTCCTTGCACTCCAGCTTGACCCTTTGCCAGTCTGTACTTTTATGAATGAGTGCCCCAATACCACCCCCCTTTCTGCTGCCTTCTGTTCTATTACAATATTCCCACGCGTAGTCCGGATTGTTCGGAGCTTGTTCCATGTCCCTGAGATGTGTTTACAAACCCATATACGATCGGCCTCTCTTCCCTTAGCTCTTCTTCTATCTTTTCCCACTTCAGCCTGTTCTTACCACCCTGCATGTTAATATACCCTATGTCTGAATTGGCTCGGCGCTCGTGGCTACGTCTATTTATGCCCCGGACTCTACCTATCTTAGATATTGGTGCCACTTTGGAATAATATCTGTCCATACCACCTGTCGAAGAGTCTCCCTGGTTGTTTCCTCGTTACTAGTTATCCTGCACCCCGAAGGGCTCGCTTGCCCCCCAAAAAAGCTACTGCGCGTCCGGCAAGTCGCCAACCCACCTCATGACCTAGCCGCCCATCAAAGCAACCTTAGGCTACGCGCGCCGCGGTGTGGCGAAAAACGCGGCCACGCTCCCTTTTCAACTTATGCTCACTCCGGGCGATTGGGACGGCTGGAGCAACGGCGCGCCGCCGGCAGCATATCGCTGGTACTGAGCGTTTTTATCTTCGGCCCATAGGGGCGCGTCAGTGGAGAGTTCTTCGAGACCTGCAATTGTGCACCACCATTTCAGAGGCTATGCAAAGTGTTGCGTTGTTGCACCGTCCGCCACAAGTGACGCTAGCGACCAAGAACATTTCAAATTGAAGGAGAGAAAGGTGGTGGCAGCTGTTTTTCTTCTCATGCGGCAGGCATCTTTTTACAGGAGGCGTTGGTTTATGCCTCCTGTACTTTAGTATAGGAGGCGTTGGTTTATCTTATCCATTCCCTTACAATCCAATATCGTGCCAGTGCCGAGCCACAGAACACCTACCAGTTTGCCTGCCCATTTTAGGTACCTATGGCACTGTATTTTAGGTGGGAATGGGTTCGGTAGTAGTATCAAATGGTAGTGTATAGATGTTCTGTGGTAGTGTGGTCAAGTTGTGAAGTGGTTGATGTTCTGTGGTAAGGTCGCTAAAATTTTAGGGACCGTAGTAGTAGGTAGGTGTTCTGTGGTAGTAGTTCAGATTGTTCGGTGGCCTTTCAGGGACTATGCCTCTGTGTGCGCGAGTTACTCAAGAAATGTTACGTGGCAAGTGATGTTGAAATACATTGCGGTATCTAGCGCCGCCTTTCCAACCAAATCCAGAGCAGCATTAGAAGGTTAACTTGAGTGGTTTGAACAACGATGTTTAAACATGTTGCGTTTGTGCGAGCTGTAGGGCAACAAGAGCACGTCGTTGTTGCCCCTCCTCTGTCTAAAGAGTTGAATGGCGAGTCAGCTAGGAAGTTTTACGACGAGGTTGTATCGCAACCATCGACGTTCGTTGACGCCGAGCCCGTAACAGCGACGGGCGCAGGCCGGGACCGTGGGAGCCAAGCTTCGCTTTGTCGGCCAGTGAAACGAGTCCAAGTCAGTGAATACTTCACTGCGGCTCAGAGGAACGATATCGCCCAGCTAGAGAGATGTCTACGTACCGGCATCGGTGTAGACGTCACCGATATTTTCGGTTGGACTGCTCTCATGTGCGCCGCTTGCGATGGTGCCGCGGACAGCGTCCGGTACCTCCTGCAAAACGGTGCGAGCAGGTGTTTAGCAAACACGCAAGGGAAAACTGCCGTCGAACTAGCAGCACAACATGGGCGCGTTGAAGTCGTGGAGCTGCTCCGTAAGCCCGAGAAACTCGGAAACACTGTGACCGCTCAGAGCGGCGCGGAGCGGCAGGCTGACGATTCTAGACGTGATCCAACGCAACTGTGTCGCGTATGCGATATGCACATCAGTTTCTCTCGACAGAACTCTCACGAAGCGTCAATACTGCATCAATTTAACATGAGTCGGGATAGGGCACCGGGCGTGACGCATTACGGGATTTCTGAGAGTAACACCGGTTTCCAAATGCTTCTCGGTATGGGTTGGGACAGAAACAAAGGGTTCGGACCTCGGGAACAGGGACGTAAGTTTCCCGTAAAAACTGTGCTTAGGCGAAACCGTGCCGGACTTGGAGCTGAGGTCTCCACACCCAGGGTGACGCACTTTGCACCGAACGATACAGCTGCTGTTGAAAACTGGTCGTGTCACGGGGGAGGCAAGGCAGCGTCGCTGAAAAGGAAGCGGGAAGAACAGGAGAGCCACTCTCAAAGAATGAAACGAATGGAGATCGAATTTCGTCGCTCCTTCTACTAGTTGCAGCTGAAAAACACGCCTCGTGAGTATTGGACATCTTGAGATAAACAGGATGGCATTCACTGACACTGCTGAAACTTAAGACACTGTGATCATATGTTATTGTTTTCAGGAAGTCACATGCACGTTTTTAGGCTTCGATGCGTAGGGGCCAATATCTTTTCAGTGGCATTGTTATCACATTTTAATTGCAACGTGATTATTCTGCCTTGACATCACTAATGCTGCCATGCTGGAGTACCAGCACGTTAAGAACCACCATTCATGACATTGTGTGCAAGCCATCAATGCAAGTAACAGCAGTCATAGCATCTGTACATCAATGGCACAGTTCCCCTAAACATATTCACAGATCTTGACAACCTTATGAAATTTGCTGCTTCAGCTGCCCACTACCAGACCTTTAACATTTTCACTGGGACATGGAACTGCTTGGTAGCACCTTTTCTACAGAACTGCCTCAGTGTGGAAATTTAAATGTTCAACAGTATGAATGCATGATAACAATGTAAAGATTTAGAAATGAGTAGCAAGGGTGTGTGACATCAAGCGGGAAGCTGAAGTAGCTGTCTATTGAGGAGGCTCACAAAAGAGCTCACTTACATTCCCAATTTGTGGCTTCTGTGTTAAGTTCATTCAAACAGCACTACTTGCTTACAATGTGTCGAGCTGATAATTTCAGGCATTAAGGTTCACCACCTGTAACGGTGCTGTCACACACTCATGCACTGTGAAGCGAGGCCCGCAAAAAATTAGGTTATATACTTTGAGCCTTAGATTCGTTCCGAGATGTTCAGTGATCCAGCCATGGAGATTTGTACAATTATTCATAGCTTTGGATAATGCAGCATTTTTGTATGTATTTTTCTGAACAAAACTATTTAACAACTGCATCTTGATGGCACGTACTTAGAGGACAGAAACTTGGTGGCTCATTAAAAGTGTTGAGCTTTGCACTAGTTTTAGCTGTGAGGCTGAAAATGAAGGACAGAGAGGACTGACACAGATGTCTTCAAACTAACAACTATGAACAGTTGTATTAACTATTTTAAGCTGCTAGTACAGCCAAGTCCTTGCCTGTCCTCTCCTTGTTCCTCGTTTTCAGTGTGATTGCTCAGCTGCAACGGTGGTCAAGTATTTATCGGGATTGACTGTTGACCCCCAAAGGTCGTGGCATCGAATACCAGCTTTGGCGTCCACATTTCGATGAATGCAGTGTGGTAGAGGCCGGTGTGCTAAGATTTATATGCATGTTAAAAAACCTCTAGTGGTCGAAATTTCTGTAGCCCTCCATTGCATGGCCCTTTATAAGTGTGTCATGGTTATGGGATGTAAATAAAACCTCTGCATTTACTACTGTAGTTCAGAACGACCACTGTTAGCTGTGGTTCAGCTAGCTCCAGTGGATACCCTTTTGAGGGTTCAGCTTAAATGGAGGGCGACACAGTGAGCCATGGAAAGGAATTTCATAAGTCTAACATAAGAAACAAGAAGAGAGCGGTAGTCGTTGGGAAACAAATGTGTGCTTAGGACACTAGTTTAAAAAAAGGCAAGGTGATCGCTGATTGTGACATACCAGATTTAAAAAGAAGTCATGATTGCCAGGGGGAGGCAGAAATTCATGTGGACATAAAGGATTAAGAAGGTTGCAGAAATAACTTGGCTGCAGAAAGCACAGGATTGGGTCAGTTGGAGCAGCATGAGGGTGAAATTTGTCATGTGGTGGGTGTACTCAAGCTGCGGCTGATGGCAAATGTTGTACAAATGGGGCGTTGTCATGCCGCATCTTCCGCAGAGAAAAATGTGCCTTGGCCACGGAGTTAGATAAGAGAGGAGTGCCGACTCTGCTCATCTGGAAGGGACACATTTTGCAATGCTGCTTCATACTTTGCGGATCGTCCTATAGGTGGTGCTATAAATGGTAAAAAGCGGCAGAGGAGAAGTGCTATCATCAAGCAGAGCGGCGGGGGGGGGCCCCGCCTGTTGTTGCTGTAGCAACGATAGGGATGCGCGCTTAGCTGCGTTTGTGGGTCTGCTCGCCTATTCGTTTTATCGTCTGCTCCAGGCATGTCGTATGTCCGCGGCCAATTCTTTCTTTTCTGTAGAGTGTGCAACTATTGCAGTTTGCAGACTGACAATATGAGAAGGAATAACCAAATTTATGGTTTTACTCATTTATTCAGGCCAAGCATCTGACATCTTTAACTTAGACCCCACAAAATTATATTACAGTATACATAAACATAACATATACATAAACATAATACATGAGGTGACATGGCAAAAACATGGTACGTAAAGCAACATAACAAATATTTCAGGTGCATTGACAAACATGGCTTGTTAGTACGTAAACTAGGAAAGGGGACCGTAATGTACTGCGAGAAAAAGAAGCTTGTAATGAAGAGGTGGTGTTTTTCACTTTTTTTTTAGCATTCATCAAGTGCGTAGATGCCTCACTTGCTTCTTTTGTTCTCTCAATGCTTTCCAAGCTGCCTGGTTCTCTTGCGAGTAATACCGCCACATTCTCATGAGAACGTAATTGCAAATTCTCGCTAGAACTTTTTCCTTGTGAGCTTCACAAGATTGTGTGTCCCCAGCACATGGTCAATCGTTGCCTCATAAACATTACTCGACTTTGCATTACCAGAAAAGAAGTTCTCGGCCGATTGATTGATATGTCGCATTTAACGTCCCAAAACAAGTTTTTGGCCGAGTGTAACAGTCCGTATAGATGCGTGTTTGTGAAGATTATTTGGGCGTGTGTTGTGATGGCTGTGAGACTGTAAATGCCTTCTTTAACAGGCTGTAAAGTTGAACTAAGTGCACCCATGCATGTTTCAGTCAGACTTTGAGCGAAATATCCAGCTATGAAGTAGATTATGCAGTTGATTAGGGCGGAATCGTCCTCTGTCTGGGGTAAAATATCTTCACATTCCAAAGGGAACAAAGCATATGTTGGAGGGCTCGTTGGTGATTTATTAAACCTGTGCCAAGGACACATGGTGCTTATTGAAGTGTCCAGCACATAGTAATTGCCCTTGGATTTCAGCGGTTGCTTACTCACGGGTACTTGACGTCACTGATCCAGTACCTGAGGATAGGGGCCACGAAGAGCGGAAGTTTCTTCCAGTCTTTGCCATAACCAAATTTGCAGCCGGGAACAAAACACTTCTACGCGCCCGGTCCAGTTGCCCCGCATCTTCACACACAAGTACCAAGATACCTTGTCTCTTGGAGCATAAATAAGCACACTGCAGACATTTTAAACAAAGGTCGTAGCACAAAAATGTCCGGCCAACACTGCCACGCAGGCGTTCAGATGTTGAAAAGAAGTGTACGTCTGCTCTGCCATTCTTTATCAGCATAATTTTTCATCTGCTTTCACTAAACATGTCTAACAGTGTTCCGAATATGTTTAAAAAAATGGATACGATGTTTTTATTTCATATTTGATTATGAGTATGGATTTATATGTTTCGTTTGGTTGTCGTACTGAGGCAGCAGAGCAAATGATTTTCTAGCAGACGAGATGCTCCGCGCATGTTGCTCCTTGTTATCATTTCACGCATGCGGTCATGAGTGCAGCTGCTGTATGGTTTCTATACGCCACAACAGGTGATACTATGTGTTGTGATATGTGCAGATAGAGAATTAAGTATGTGCGAAAGCAGGAAAAGGAGCGCAGCAAAGGAATGAGTTAGACCACTGCGTTGTGCAATGTGTCCTTCGCGAAAGTGGGGGCAGCGGCAAAGTCAGTGCTACTCCTTTACTTTACTCCGTGGCATTGACACATGTGGCAGCCCACATTCTCTGTGCTATTATGTTCGCTTTTCACTGTATTATTCTAGACAAACATTTCTGTGTTGAAATATGACCATTTGTTCAAGGGCTGTATGAAGACATTGAAATGGCCAGTTGCATTACCTAAGTTCAAAGCAGTATTTGTCTGTGCCTACTGAACATTGGTTTCAATTACGCTTTTTTCCTGCTATCCTTCTTAAAAATTAACTGTGCTCCAAGTTGTGAGGTACTATTTATGGAGTGTTTCACCTCATGTACCTCACAGGAATAATGATATCCACTTGGGAAGCGAATGAAACATTATGAAGTCTATCAACGGGTGCCCATAGACCCGCCATCCTGTATTATTTGCCCATGGAATCTGGAAATATATGAGCCCTTTGTTGTAACTAATACAAAAAAGTAATCGAGGGTCTTTTAACGGCTTCATTGATAAACTCTATGCACACTACTTTTGTAGAATGAATCCAGCGACAGCACGTGTGAAGCAGTACTTGGCAGACATAGAATTGACTGCCGAGACAATCCTGGCTGACAAAGAACAAGTTGTTGAGCTTGACCGACGACGACAAAAGAATAGAGAGGCTTTAAGGTAGGCATTTCACATCTGGTTGGGGCACTGTGAAATGGTGGGATATGAAAGCTGCATGTGAATTCAAAAGAGCAAGTCGTGTTATTGCTGTGGTATTCTGTTGCAGCTCTGTACTGCACTATGTGGCTAAATCCTGAGGCCGAATTCGAAATCAGAAGCATCACATTTACCAGAAAAAAATCCTCTGAAGTACAACGCAGGTCCCTCATTACGAGGATTGTATGCTTACTCCAGGAACATAGCTACGTTTTGCCACAATTGAGGCTCGCTTGTGCTCGTAACGGGAGCATTGGCAGAATTTTTTTTTGAGGGGTGGGGGGAGGGAAGGGGGCACCCTTTTCAAATAGTGATTTCTTGCTCTGTATTCTATGGATAAAAGAAGGGGGGGGAGGGGGTGCCACTTCTTGTCTACGCTATTGGTCGGTAAAACCAAAACAAGTTGAAGGCATATAATAATGCTTCAGTGATTGTAGTTGCCCAAATATTATTTATTTAGGTCTTTATTTATTTTTACATACTTCAGCCGTGCTGAGGGCTATTGCAGGATTGCAGACCATACATCAATGGTAGAGAAAAATTTTGAAGAGTTAAATGGCATTGTTGATGAGCATTATGAGTATGTGAAATATAGTTTAATCAGTATAATTGTTGAACCAGCATGTATGCAAGTCTTCAATACATTGTACACTTGTAATGAATCTTTGGAAATACGATTCAAAAGGTATAACACTATGCTTCATGTACCTCGAACTGCTGCTCACCTCTGCGCCATCGCCGTGGTCTATTGGCTAAGGCATTCGGCTGCTGACCCCCAGATCACGGGATCGAATCCCGGCTGCGGCGGCTGTATTTTTGATGAAGGTGAAAATGGTGTAGGCCCTTGTGCTCGCATGTAGGTGCACGTTAAAGAGCCCGAGGTGGTTGAAATTTTCGGAGCCCTCCACTACAGTGTCTCGTAATAATATCGCGGTTCTGTGACGTTAAATCTCAAATGTTATTATTAGTAGTATGCCCAATATGAGCTACCCATAGCACTACACGCCAAAGATGGGTAACGAATGGCCCGCATGAACTCCGTACGCATTCTTGGCCACCTAGTCGAGGCCACTGGCTGCCATCCACGAAAAATAACGCACATCAGAGCTAAAATAAAAAACACGCTCCTACTCATTCAGCGAGTCTCGGGTCGTAGATGAGGCCTTGGAGAGGCCAACCTTCTGCGCATATACCATGCGTTCCTGATGAGCCACATCAATTACATCTTCTCTGCCCATAACTGGAGGAAGGTGGAAAAGATGAAATTAAACACGCTCATGCATGAAAGCATTAAGCGAGTTCTTGGTTTACCTCAAAACACGAGTAATTCGTGTTGACCAACTAGGTATGCACAACCACATCGATGAAGGGATCGAGGCCCAGACCATGGCACAAGTGATTCGCCTCTCCTCCTCCAAGGCAGGCTGCCGACTTCTAAGTGAGGGCGGCATGTCCCCACATCCCTACCTTGAACGCGCAGTAACCCTCCCCAGAGCTGTCCGCCCTACCTACATGGTAACCCCATTTCAGTTAAATGTTAACCCGCAACACAACAAAGGCAGACGCCGGGCCCGCGCTCGCGCGATCCTCGACCGTACCGTCGCTAATTGCAACTCTACTGTCTTCGTCGATGCGGCGCAATACGCTAACTCTTCCACCTTCGCACTTGCGGTAGTAGATGGCGATGGAGCCCTACGCTCAGCTGCCTGTTAGGCTAGCAACGAGCACCATAGCCGACCAGTTTGCTATAGCTTTTGCAATGATCAACTCCTCACACATCCATGTCTTCACAGACTCTCGCGCCGCCATTCGTGCTTACGAAACTGGCAACATCGCTCGAGAAGAAGCTCACTTTTTACTAACACGCAAATGCATGGGTTTGCACTACTTCTCTTGGTTCCCTGCCCTCATGGGCAAAGACGTCCACCCACATCAACCCAACCTCAACAAAATGGCCCATGAACGAGCGTGAGAACTGATCTGCCACGACGATCAATCAGCCACGAAGAGTTGGGCCCACACGTACAGTTCGCGTACAGAACACACCTTCTGTACAGAACGTACAGAAGGTGAGTACCCTTTACTCACCTTCGACGAAATTACGTCCCACTGCCGTAACGACAGAAGCCAATACCACATGCAAAGCCCGAATGCATGTAAGAGGTAGCCTTTCGCATACTACAAAAGAGATCTATCATGGGGCCGATTCAGTTACTGCTTGGACATAAATTCACAATTCCCAGACTGCTCAGAAGTCTACTGTTTTTTCGAACATATGCCCTGGCAATCTTCCGGGTTGCCTCAGGGACCTCTTACCAGTGAGTCCGACTGGGAAGAGGCACTCAGAAGCCCCAATCTCGCAAACCAACTAAGGGCAGTCCAGAGAGCCCAAGAACTGGCGGAACGCCACCACGTTCCCACCCCAACTCGGGCGTCGGCTACAGAAGCGGCTGCTGGGATGTCCCTTGTGGCTTAAACTCCTCATGACCGTTTAATAAATTTCTTGACTGACTGACTGATGCTCACCTCCGTATTCTTTATAATGAACCCTGCTGCGCGGGACTACTGCCAATGGACTTGCGACTTGCAATAATTTGCTTCAATGAGCTAATGAAAAGGTGCTGTTATGTCAGCTGCTGTCAAACAGGACATTGAACCTGATGGGCAATGCAAACAATGAAGGAAAAAAATTGTGGCAGACACCCTGCAATGTGAGAATCTGTTTCAACAGTCAGCAAATAGCTTCATTTGTGTGGCGACTGGAGTCAATGTTGACGTGAATGGACATAATGCTCCGGCAACCCTGAGCCTGGGGAGCGTGCGCCTCTTCGTAAATGGTGTTTACCTGCGTATCCGCCATGCACGGGGTTATAAACAGTCAATAAATGTTTGTTACAACGTAACACTATGCCACATTTTTTTTTGTTTTAAGGAGGGACACGGGTCTTTGCGACGAAAAAAACGCCAACAAAATCAATTTTTCAGTTTGATTTTCATTATCTTCATATCATCCTGCACCTGCCAGCCAAAAATGAACTCGAAATGATGCATCGTTGAGCAAAAGAATGTCATGTTTAATCATCCCAGCTATTGGTTTTGCTTACGAAATCGCCAAAAACAGCCCCCTTTTGCGTTGCTTGTATCGCGCTAACCACTCATCAGATCGCGGCCATTTTAGTCTCATTTGAAAAAGCTTCTGTTGAGCTCGCTTTCCCGCCAGGAATGAACCTTCAATGCTGCAGCCAGTCTGCGCTACCAGGCAAAAACAAGCGACAAAACTGTGCGGTATCATTGGTCCATAGCAGTCAGGTGAGTGAACAGCGGCTTCTGATTGGAGCGCGGGGACTAACAACACTGGTAATCATGCACGCGGGGCCGCAAACACGCGCGTTGTCACCGTCATTTTGGAAGTTTTGTAGTTTTGCGATCGAAATCGAGTTGCCGAACTGTGTCGGAAGTTCCGCACACTTCACGAATTCGACAAGTGATGGAAAAAATGTGCTGTGCAGTTCAAGGAATCATCGCAGCCAGCGCAGGCTTTGTCGGCAGAGCCTAGTGGGACAGGAGACCGGCAGTCGCCGGTCTCCTTTGTGTCAGGCTGCTGCAGTCGCCACGATGCAGCAGCCTGACACAAAGGCAGCCTTCGACCGTTACAACTTTACGAGTGGCGACACGGGCTCAGAGTGCCATAAATCATCGCAATTGCCGATGAAGATATCTGCAGATCTCGGCGGAAGAGGGCAACGAATTCCACGACCAAGCGGCGTTGCAACACAAGCGATCGCGACGCCGACCACGGTGCCGTCGGAATCAGCTGATTGCAGTGATACTTCAACAAGGCGCCAGGAAACAACGCCGCTGCTTGTGATTGAGGCAGCAGAGAATGCTGCTGCAGCAGATCTCGCAGCTGGAGAAAGCGTGGCGGCGACTGTGACCACTGCCTGCAGTACTTCAAGTATGCACGATCCAGCGGCGAGGATAGACGTGACATTTTTGACATCGGCTGACCGAGAACTCATCGAGCCTCGCGCTGAGCAAAAAGCAGCGTTTTTGACATCGGCTGACCGAGACCTCATCGAGCCTCGTGCCGAGCAAAAAGCAGCGGAACTTTCCTTGGTCTTGAGAACCGATTGCGAAATGAGTGTTCTCGCGAGTCAGCGCGGAATCCAAAAGTTCATCGGCCCCGACGCATATTATGGTTGATCTCGACATGGTGAACAGTTTACTAAACGAACATTCTGCTTGCCGAGTGTGCCATGGTCAATTGACCATCGAATGCGACGTGCGTGAGTACGGCGTAGCCGGTAAGCTGAAGTTTCACTGCAGGAGCTGCGGAGAAATTGGTTCGAAATGGAGCTCGCGACGGGTTGGTGGCAGCAGTAACTGCAACCCGTTTGAAATCAACGTTCGCACGGGGCGTACGGTTCAGAGCACTGGGAATGGTCAGACAGCTCTGGATGACATCTTTGCCACTATCGGTGTTTCACATCGGGGCCTTCACACGAAAACGTACCAAGAGTACTTGAAAATGGACCTTCAGCCAGCAACAACGAGAGCTTGTGCCGAACATTTGACTAAGTGTTCCACAGTGGTAAAGTGCCTCTACAAGGACCTCAATTTTGGCATCATTGGAAATATTGCAGTCTCTTTTGATGGAAGCTGGCTTCAAGAGGACACACCTCTCACATTGGAATAGCCACTGTGATAGAAGTTTTTTCAGGTTATGTGCTAGACTATGTTGTGCTTTTTAATTTTTGCCTCGGCTGTGAATGCGGTCCAAAAGCCGAGAGCCCAGAATACTCTGATTGGAAAGCCTAACATTCATGCCAGAAAAATACCTCATGCAAGGCTGGCCAGATCGAAGTAGAGGCAGCAATGATTTTATTTCAGCGCGCCCTTTCGCTTCATGGCCTCAGGTACACCACCATACTTTGTGATGGTGACAGCCGGTCGTATAGTGCTGTCAAAGAAGCTGAGGTGTACGGCTTCATAAATGTTGAAAAAGAAGACTGCTCGTACCATGTGCAGAAGCGCATGGGGACTGCACTTCAGAACGTCGTGCAGAAGCACAAAAGGGCAGCAGCGAGCGCATCAGTGGCAAGGGCCGCCTCACGGGTGACCTCATCCCAAAATCGACGAGTTATTGCGGCTGGGCTTTGAAATCCTATTCTGGGAATGTGGATGAGATGCACAAGGCTGTGTGGGCTATGTATCATCATGTGACATCCACTGGCGAGAAATCAAACCACAGCTTCTGTCCACACAGCCCCGAGTCTTGGTGCAAGCATAATGCAGCAATGGCAAGGAATGAGCCCATCCCAAAAAGCAAGTACAATTTGCCAGAGGCTGTGAGCAATGCACTGCGTCCTGTTTATGTACGGTTGACCGACAAGAAGCTTCTGCAGAGATGCACCAGACGGATGACGCACAATGCGAATGAGGCCTTGCATTCGGTCATTTGGAGCCTCTCACCGAAGGACAAGAATGCGTCATTGTTCGCCGTTGAGACTGCCATGGCAGAGGCTGTTATGCATTTCAACTTACGGAACAAGAAATCAAGTTCGCCTATTTTGAGTGACCTGCAGCTAGATCAAACATGCACAGGTAACCAGCGGGCGATTGAGAAAGACTATCGCCGTGCCGTCGGCTCGGAGAGGAAACGTGCATCTTCAGCGGCGTTCCAGGCAGTTGCAAAGAAGAAGCACAAGCTTCAAGAACAGATAGTTCGCCATGATTGCAGAGTGAAGTCGCATTTTCTTTTTTGGTTTGGGAGCCAGTCGTTCCATAACACTGCTAATACGGACAACGGCAACGCTGCACCAAAACAACAGTGAGCGTTTTTAAATACAGCCTACAGGAGGCGCCTAGCGTCAAGTTGGAAAAAGAATATAACTACAAATTGCTCCCACTATCGCATTGTACGTTGAAAAGTTACCAAAAAGTTGACAACAATCTTTAATAAACGTCTGAACATTGCTCAAACTTGCTTTAAGGTGTTAATTTTGTAATCTCTCTTCACGCATCTGTTGATGAGATTACATATGTTGCGCTTCCATCAGTTCGGTGAACACATACAACAGGCGAATGTGTTTAGGTGAATGTCATTCACTTTGCCTGTGTAGCTTGCACAAAAATGACATTAGTGCCTAATTTCGATCGCAGCGAATGACATTACAGGTGCCGTGTGACAGGGGTATAACTATGCAGCCCCAGTACTCAAATCAGCCAGTAACTGTGAATTAGGGTAAATGGCAGGGTTGTTTATGTATGTGGCATCATGTGTTGAAAGAAGAGTGAGCGATTTCCAGCCAATTTTGAGAGTTAATTGCTACTTTGAGGCTGTGTACCGCACTCTAATGTACTGATCGCGTGTTCGTGAGAGCCTCAATTAGCAATTGGCAGCGTTTTTTGACAGTGCTGAGAAAGTGCTGCAAGGCTCCTGCAGTATATCGCCTGCAACCGTAAATTTTTCAGAGAACATTGTCATACTGCTTAAAGCATGTGAGAGACCTCCTGGTGTGGTGTGGACGTTCAACAAGAAGACAGACTCTATTTCACTATAGGCACCATGCAGTCAAGTTGGGTTCCCGTGTCACTGCAGTGCTGGAACGCAAAGCATAGCGGATTGGTGAAAATGGAACTGGATGAGCACGTCTTTCTCCCTGCATGAGTGGGTGGATTATGGACTGGGCTACATGGGGAACTGTCTGTTCATGCATCTTCTCTCTTTTAACGACCAATGTCGGCAAACTTGGGACTGGTCAGTGCGAGCAGCGCAGCTTCCAGTGGATGGTGCCTATTCTCTTGGACAGAGCAACATTAATGCCCCATTGTATTACTGCTGGGCTCATATGATACAAGTTCCGATTTTTAATTCACCATCAGTCCTTCCTGTTTAGGAGTCTTTTTTTCTGCTGTTCAACTGCGAAGACCTGCGATGTCAGAATGTTGACTATGCAGAGACTGTGCTACACTTTGTGGAACTTGAATGTTCACAAAGTAGCCAGTGAGTAGCCCATTTAGAAATACAATAGAAAATGGCCATGGAATATGTGCTGAGGGAAAAACAAACGGCTTGACAGCCTTTACATGGCAACATGTACATGACAGTATACATTGCATGACAACTCAAGATATAATTATACCCAAATGTGGTTGTCTTACGGCCAGCTGAGAGGACACAGCACTAGGACAGTTTATAAGCAGGTGCTCTCCAGCTATTGGGAAGAAGTTTTTATATTTTGTTTGGAGTTTAAGGACATTTTCCACAGAATTTGTGGAGCAAGAGGCTTGCCATGGCATAGCTTCTTCTATTGAATGGCAGTTGTCTTGTAAATCAGCAAAGTGCGTTAGCATCACGCTTTGATTTTGGCTGGTGGCACTGATGGTTTGATATGGCGACTCCATGTTCTAAGCTTGCTTTATTGAAATGCCATAATATAAAATCTTTCTAATGGAGTTTCCTACGAATACACTAGAGGGAACACTGGTGCTAGTGTCCGTGGGAGCTGCAATGCACAGCACTTCAGCCGGCATGGGAATGATGGGATTCGTCTAACCTTCGTCTCCATTTGGCTTTGTGTAGAGTGACTCTGCTTGGCCACAGGACAAAGTTTAGCAAAGTTACAGCAGTTACGTTTTACCACCTGGACCTTTTTAGGCTCACCAATCCAAATTAGCTCACGACGTTCACAACAGTAAATTTTTTTATTCGAAACAAAACCAAAGCACAACAATAAACAGAGCTACAAGAGCATTCATAGTGGCAAGTACAAAGAGTAGGCAAAGTCATCAACTACTCATCATGGTGGCTAAACGATTGCAGCATTAGAATTTCCTCTATCGAATATTATAGGAAACTGCATGCTTAAAAACAAGCATATGGCAATTAATAAGCCGAAGAAATTCATAGCTGCTTTATAAATAATTTTTTTTTGCTTGTTTTGCTTGCATGGATAGAGCACTGAAACAGCTGGAGGAAGATATCCACAGGCCTTGGGTCTGCATCGGAAACATGTTCATGAAAATTCCAAGGCATCGAACTAAAGAGCTCCTCGAACAAGGTCAGTGTTCTTTCTTGTTAGATCATTTCCAGATATTGAAGCACATAGTACTATACTTTGTGGCCACTTATCTTGGCTGTGGAGCGAAGGCTACGGAGGTAGGGGGCTCCGCATATGCGTGTTGCTCTTCGAGTAGTATGGCAGCTTTCGGTTTTGGTTGCCCACATTGTTAATGCGTTCTATACATGTGAATTAGAGAGATTTTGATGGTATAGTGTACATTTTAGTGTCGTACCACTAGTGCGTTTTTCTTGGAGTACGCACCAGAGTGTTTCTGGCAGCGCATTGACCCATTATGTCATGGACACCATTAGAAAACGGGTGTGCTGAAAGAGGTGCCTAAGAAATGGAAAGCATTCTTGCAAAGGGAACAAGAGCTGTGTTCTACCTGCCACACCTGTTTGAGACTTGGAATAAATGAAGTGGCATTCATCTCTGCAAGGCAAATGAGAAAATTATCAGTAAACTTAAGTGCTATTTTTGGAGCAGCAGGAGGCATGCGCTGTGGTTCTGTAGCTTCCACAATGCTGTAAAAAAAAAAAAAAGCTGTCAAGGAGTTAAGGTAATAAATTTAAAAGAGGTGTATTTCACTCGCAATGAGCGATGGGTTGCTCACGTCCGGACCTCAGTAAACAAAGCTGGTGAAATGCTAAATTTGGTTATCACTCAACATAAACACATTTTCAGGTTCCTATGAAAGTGACATAGTGAGTACTGATTGGAATAACAGTGCAAGGAAATATGACACAAAAGTGTCTGATAAATAGGAAAAGCTCTGAGTCACACATTGAAATTTATAAAGAGTTGCAGATAAAAATATGCTTCAAGCTAGAGCAAGAGTCTTGAATGTCCAGTCCCTCTCACTAGTGGCCTGGCGCACAAATCACCGTATTCGCCGCATGAAAAAATAACAGGCATGACTGGTCTAATAGAGAAACGTCGGTGCATTTCCAATCGGTTTTGAGGTAATGTCGTGTTGAAGTAGCAATAACAGTCCTGTAACAGTTGGGGTGGTTCTTTTAGCTGAGAGACTCGTCAGTAATTTTAAATAAGCAAAAAACAATCGGTCAAAACTGAAACGGGAACAGGTAGCTGCTCCGGGCTGGGTACACGATGACGTCAGAAGATGCTGCCACAACTGACCAGAGTGTAAACACAGCACACATGCTCCTTCTATTGCTCGAAAAGCAAGTTGGCGATGTCATCTTACGTGGAAGTAAGCTGTGCCAGCTCGTCTGAACTTACTAGTGCCAGGTTCAGCGATGATGGCAGCAACTATGCGGAAAGCGCCACCTTTTGATTTCGGCCTGCTGGCGTGAAGCATGCCCCAAATTGATCTCCTCATTGCTCAGTATTGTGTATGATGTGTAAGACCTGTTACTACAACGACTAACACGCTGTATGCAGCTGAAAAAACTGAACTCTACTCGCCTTGTTGTTGCTTAGTAGAAGAAAGCACGCGCTGCATCAGTCTGCTGGGTGCGGTGGGGTTTTGGAAGTAATGTAGGCATTGTGTCGCATACATAAGGTGGCCCGCATTTACATGTGTCATTCCAGACTTGGCTACTAATTTTTAAAATTTGTTTTCTAAAAATCTAAATGACTTACATATTTTCAAAGTGTTATTGCAATCAGTGAATATCTAAAAATTGCTGGAGTTCTCTTTTGAGCATTCTTTTCTTGTGGCATCCCATCCTGCCACCATGCACTAAAACATAACCGTAGAACAACAATCCAATATTTCAAAATCGGCGTCTGAATTTTAAGTCATTCTGGATAATGCCACACATGCTTCATTTTCTATATTTATGCAAACGGGCAATTGCAAGTTTAAACGCTACCTGGCATGAACCGTATCCGAATGTCTGCAAACATTCATGATTATCCCTTTGAAAGTTCACCTGTATTTTCGTTCCGATCAAATAGAAACTGGCTGTCGTATAGTCATATATATTACAAAGAAACAATTTGAAACAAAGTTTATGAAAATCGAGCCATTACTTTGCTGAAAAAAAAAGAAAGACTTGGTAGAGTGTTAGCAGAAAGTGGCCTGTACCGCAGTCTCTTCCTCGCTATTGCATCAACAAGTATTAGTAAGTGCTGAGTGTCACTTCTCTAGTTGTGAAGAAAAAAGTTCTGGAGAACCCCACCTGTCTGCCTGTTGCCTGTTTCTGCAAAGTTTACTTCATCGCATGCACTAACCATTCTTTGTCGGTTTGGCTGTTCTTGTTTTGACGAAATTATTGAGTACAGCTGTTGTCCCTGATTACTGTGTGCAATGTCAAGAAAAATATTTATATGCATCAAGGAGGAGAAGAAAAACGCAAAGAGGTTAGCCAGACTGGCTGGCTACTCCCATTCTGGGAAAGGGGGGTCATGGCAGTAAAAGATGGGGACAGAGAGAACTTACAAAAACATAGAAAGGAAAACAATATCCGCAATTGCACTGAGGGATAAGCGGGGCAGTTTGGCAGTGCCTCGTTCCAATGTATTTTCTCGGTCAAATTATTGTGCAAATATGAAAAAACACGTGATGACTGGAAGCTAAAGGCACCTGTCTGAAAAGCCAGGCGAGAAAATTCTCAGGCATACTGATTGGTAAGTTGTATCAACCTGAAGAAGAGGAAATTTCAATGCCATTGTAATAATGCAACCGCCCTTCAAAAGCATGGCAAAGGAATTTTCCTTGAGATGATGAAGATTAAGGTATGAGTGACTAAGAGTTGCACTAATTGCAACGGGTGATGTGGGAGAAAGTTTTTCTGGCAAATGTAAGAGTGGGACATATATGTCCCACTGTTGCACAAAGGGTTATTTCAGAATATTCCAACAAGGGGAGTGGGTGCCCAATGCAAACAACAGAGGTTAACCCAACCACCAACGATAATGCTGGAATCCTTGATGCTACAGCTAAAAATGCTGATGCGCTTTGCTGGTCAGGTCACTGATGACCGATGTCTGTGTTTGCTGTATTCACGGCTCTTCGAGTGTTGCTTCCTTAGCTCAGCACAAGCCCACCCAATAAAGTATTTCATCTTCATTAGCTGCACTTTGCTTTCTTCAGTGTCACAACCATGTGAAAATGTTACAATCTTCCTCAAAACCTGACGCTGAATCGCCTTCTAAGGTGACTCATATACTAGTAGACAGCGAAAAGGCATTCTATCAAATGACAACGCTTGCCGACTTTTGTTGAAACCGTCTATATTCAGTCGTGTTGTTTCCAAAGACATCCTGACCCTGCTAGCTGTACACAAATTCCTGTAGCCCACTAACTTGAAAGTACTACGCAGGTTCATTGGCCTGTGCTCCTTCTTTCAACGCCTTGTTTGCTATTATCTTAGTGCGATCGCACCCCTAGAGCAACTTTTGTATACTAGTACCTAGCACACTACACGGGCCGATTTTTCTGGCCTGAAAAAGCCATGCTCTGGTCTGTCCTAACCCGGCCCGTTGTTTTTAAATATGGCCCGTACTCGGCCCAACCTGGCTCAGCCCGTTTTAGCCAATTATGCCTTGGACCAATAAATGATACACTATACCTGCTGACATGTTTTCTAGAGTGTTTTGAGAACTTCTTTAAGTGTTGCGACTTTCACTGGTACTACACTTTTGCTTAGTTACGTCAATAACACATGTGCAAAATAATTGTAGGGCAATATAAATTATAACTAGAGTCATAACTGGCGGTCTCACATACGCAGTGCTAGCATTTCAAAGAATGACGACAAAATATAATATAAATTAAAAAAAAAAGAAAAAGCAGAAATTTATAGTCTACATAAATTGTATATGAGCTGGAGCTATTGAGTGGAAGTATTAAGTTTCTGCCAAACTTGATTTATTGCAAAATGCAATAAAAATAAGCGTGCTCCTGCTGCTTATGCTACCGTATTTACTCGCGTAATGAACACACTCGCATAATAAACGCACCCCGAATTTCAGCCGTCAAAATTTAGATTTTTTTCCCTTGCTCAATAAACCCACCCCATACATCGCTGTGCGGCACGTCCCCTGTCTTTTTTAATTATCTTTGTGCCTCAATAATGTTCACGAACGGTGGGAGTGTGAGACATCGCAGCTGATGAGCACACGACGAGCGGAGGTCACGAAACTTTCCTGGCCAAACGACGGTCGCTTCATGCAAATACAAAACTTTAAGGGGAGATGCGGGTAAAAAAATGCGAGTTTTCTTCAACCTGACCGATTTTTTATTTTTGCCTGTTTTGATAAGATTAGTACCACTACTTTTTTGAAAAAAAAAAGCATGCCGAGACTTGACTGGAAATGCTTTAAAATTGTGTCTAAAGAACACAAAGTGCCTGTTAAAAGGCACAAAGTAGGCAGTCTTTGAGCACCTTGCCGCTGGTAATGTGCCGCCGCTCGCCATTCTCGATCACATGAGGCGAAGAGTCGAGCCTCACTGTTCAAATAACGACAGTTTTTCTTGCTGATGCAGTATAAGAAATAATTAAAAGAAGCACGCTTTTGTGCGTATTGCGGGCACCGCTACTGGCTTATCATGTACAGGCGGGGACCGCCATTAGCCGCTAGGCGGCTGTATGTGCTGCGAAGCCTACTTGCAGGGTCTGTGTCATGATGAGCAGCGCAGCCGAACGATACTTTTCTCGTGTATTTTATCTTTATTATGAATGAAAAAAGCCATACCTTGCGCATGAAAGCCATTGTGGCGATGCGCTCTGTAGGAATAGGCTGCGAGCAGCTGGTCCGATTTGCGGCAGTTGGCTTGAAAAAGCCAAAGCCAATGCATCAAAAGTAATTCACAGCCATCAGCCGGAAAGTTCGTGATGCGGCAATTGATGATGTCAGCGCCAATCTTGCAAGGTCGAAGAAACTTAGCGGGGACAACATTGCCATTATGTACGACAGTATGTGGCACAAACATGGCCGCAAAGTTGCATTGGCACTGTTGTGTCCCTTGACACTGGACTTAGTTTAGATTTCGTAGCCCCGTCGAACTTCTTCCTAGCTTGCAGTGA